GGAAAGTTGGCTGCTGTTGCCTCTGAGGGTTATAATTTTATGGTTTTAGCTATCAGGTGAGCTTGTGGCCCTATACTTTTGTGCAGATTTTGTTGCTTGGCGATGTTATTGATGTGTCGTTGTTGTTGTGAACTGCCCAAAATCTGGTTAAGAAGGCAGCATACAAATTATGTAAAATAAACACAAGAATGGAAGTAAGTAGCAGTTTCATACCTGAGACACGGGCATGTTCCAAGTAGGAAGCAGGACATGAATCTCCTCATAATTGAGAAGTTTAATTGCATTTTAAAATAAAAGCAAAACAGTTGCTCAAAATACTGAAAGGGGCTCTACAATGAACAGCTGCAGGCTGTATACTAAATAGCCTTAAGGAAATTACAACCTTCTACTACTGATAGTTGCAGGAAGGTCTCCTGTTTGTCCTCAACTAAGGTCTCCTCAGCTAAAGATCCACCAGTGTGGCCCCTGCAGGCAGCCTTTTTCCAACCCTATGCCCTCCATGGCTGTTTGACTCCAAATTCTTAATTCTCAACATTGCCGTATCATTAGGAAGTCTGAGTACTGCAGTCCTGATGTGGTTGGAGAATGCCAGGATGCGGAAAACTGCTCTAAAAGGGTCACAATATAGGTTACTCTGTCAACCTGGATGTAGCCTTCTTGTTAATATAGAGGCTTCATTCAAACAACATACTTCACTTGGCTAAAATGGGATTCAGTCGTTGGAGGTTCTGTAGGTTGTAGGAAACCAACAGCTGTCTTGGTATGTTATCTGAACCAGTAAACCACAGTATGGTTTATTTGTCTGGGCACAGCATGGCATGTGAACACAGTACTTGCACTTATTAACTCTATTTTCAGATTTACCATATTGTATGAACCCAGCCACCATGCACATGCTCAGCATACATGCACTTATTTGCCACATGTACATTGGATACAAAGCTACCGGCTATTTTAGAAAAGTATTATATAAAACATAAAATCTGTATTTGTCCTATGTGACATGATACTTGCCATCTCTCACTAGATGTTGTAAAATGACTTTATGTAAAATTCAGAATAGTTCTAATAAATCACAATCAGAAAGACAGTGTACCTACATTACAAGTGTATGCATGTATGTTTTAAACCAATTAACTATGATAACTTTTTCAAAAAATCTTAAGGGTCAAGTTCTATTGAGGATGCTTTGAATTTTCTGCTGGAAAACCTGCTCAGCACTACAATTCCTAGACCTCTAGAGAGGAAATGCCTGTTAACTGATGGAAAAGCCTTTACTTTGGCAGTGGTGTAACCAGCAAGATGTTTATTCTGCACACCATGTACATTTTATCTTATGAAATAAGTCATCTATTTAATCATCAGCATTAAATAATTGATTATGCTCTGACAGCATTACCATTTCTAATTTTCACTTTAAAGTTGTAACTTTTCGTTGGTTGTTAACTGCTAATTATTTCGTGTGATGCATAAGCAGGTACATTAGAAGGGTAAGATATCCATTTATGTGAGCATCTATATCTACGGATAAAAGAAACATAAGTCACTTTATAATTACAGTTCAGGGATGCTGGAACTCACATGATTCCAATTCTTTTTTGATCCTGCTGGCAGCTTTTTCCACCTTTTCACCAGAAGCACGCATGCATTGCAGATATCTCCTGAGCGAGCTTCATGCAGACTGTAAAGAGAAGACCCTAGGTCAATTACCGCAAATAAGCAGCAGGGAAAAAAACATACATGCACATACACGCAGACAGAAATACAGAAGAAGATGCTTGACTCTGCAATTTGAAGAGGCAACATGCCAAATTCAAACCACGTAATAACTGACTTGGGTTAGCTTGCTACGTTGAGATCACTTGCAAAAAATAATTTAAGATTGTTACATTGAATTGAATTGAATTGAATTAAGCAAAGGTGGGAAATAGCTGTGGAGTAGTTAGCTATTATATTTTAACAATGTATCAAAGCAAACTTGACTTTATTCTTCTTCTGACATCTTCACATGGGGTAGAAAATCAGAAACATGTCATGGAGCAAATCAAAGCACTAGGCTGAACTCTCATGTTTACTTGCAGCATTGCCTTTGGGTCCCACAAATGTCTCACTGGGATGGAACAGGACATTCTGGGAGGCTAATTTGCCCTCTGGCAAATGGGTGTTCCATGACTCACCATGGCCACCCCAGCAACCACTTTGTGAGGTCCAAAGGAGTGCCTGGCCCACAGAGCGTCTTACTCTTACCTGAACAGGCTGACACAGGGCCAGTGACCCCCCCCCCGAGATTCCTCCCCAATCTTCACTCAGAAAGAGAGGACAAAATATTCCCAATTCCAGCCAGCCGGGAGTCACTGCTTTGCTCTTCAAGCGTTTACCTTGCCTTTCTTCCCACACAGGCAACCCTTATCTGCCAAGTATTTATAAATGCACACGGGGGGCTGCATCTATCCTCCAGCCCTCCATGCTTAAATTAGCTGGAAGATCTGAAAAGAAAGCCTCCCCACATTCAGCAACATACGAATGCTTCCCCTCTGAGACTTCTGCCAAACGCAAAGCGTGTAGCATCCTTCACGTTGGGGACTGGCTCTGGTTGTGGGGGCTCCGTGCACTGCATTCAACATTTCTCTTTGCTCAGCCACAGACAGCATTAGGCAAAGCTACCACAACTGGAACTGCAGCAGGTCTTACCCAAAACAATTCTGGAAATCCTTTTCGTAACGCTTGCTGTCGGTGAAACGGGAGCTTGAAGACTTGGCCCTGCAAATACAGCAACCCTCCAAACTCCGATACATCTTCGGTTTGTGGAAGCCAAACATCTTTTCGTCCCTCCTTTAGTCAGCAGGGGTAACGGGGAGGGAAGATCGAGCTAAAAAAAAAGGAGAAAAGAACAAGGAGGGCACCATGAAAAGATGAAGGGGGAAAAAAACCTTCTCCAGTGATGGTTCTGCAAACTGACACTCTGCATCGCAATCAAAAATGCTCAGCAAGTGCTCTAAATTAAGCATTACCACAACCGCCCTTCCATAAAGGCAGAAGTCTCAAATACATCTTCATCGCTATGGATCACTGGCAGCTTTTTCCGCCCTTCCTCTCTCAAGGCAAAGGACGTTACAGGAAATGCAATGAGACATGTAACAAGGTGACCTAAGATACAAGAACTAATGCCAAAAGCAAAGTGAAAAAAAAAAAAACAGAACAGAACAGAACAAAACAAAACACCTGCTTTGTGGAAGGGGCAGATCTGCAGGTTTAAAACAAGCAGAGGAGGTGGGGAAAGGAGGTTACAATCACAGCCACTCCAAGAAAAAGCGGGGGGAGGAGATGTTTCTCTGCCATGAACAGTCACATGAAACAAGGAAACGGCTATGACTTCAACCCCAGGCTGCTTTCCCCATATGGACAATGTGACAGCCTGAAACCCCCACCATCCCCTGCCAAACTCACCTTTGTGGACTATTTTCTCCACATTCTTTCTACTTTCAGGAAAGAAAATAAAAATATAGCTGAAGAGGAAGGTCTTAAAAAGTCATAATTGCAATAATGGTAACTGGTTTTAATTTAACTGCTGGTATTTTATTTTAGATGGTTAGCCCTTTGCAGTACAACATGGTCAGGAAGATAAACCATAAGGTAAAATAATAAACAATACATCCAACACAATAGGAAGAACAGTGTTTTGGAAAAGGCTGAAATGGACACTTCTCACTCCCCATCTCAGCCCCACAAGTCACCTTCCACCTACAAGCTTTTTCAAGATTTTGGGTTGTTCCATGGCACAAGGGTTTACATCCACTGGAGGCAGCTGCTATTGTTAAAAAGCACCTACAAGCTTCCTAAATGTTGAGTGGGTATTAAAAGTTAAGCTGGTCCTCACCCACAAAGTTGCAATCAGGAAGAGAAAATGATACAGCAAAGAAAGCATCCGTTGGAGCAGTTTCAGGAACCAGCCCCCAACTTAGTTTTCACAAGTGGAGATCTTTCTCATGGGTCATTCTGGAGGCCAGATTCACGCAGGAGGTTGGTTGAATTCACACACTCTGCTGTGTCACATTTGTTTAACCACATCCAGTTCATGAACTTACAACTGGCTGGGCTCCCACATCATACTAATCAATAAACTATGGATTATAAGCTACTACAACAGGGCTTGCACAGAGCAAAAACCAAACCAACCATGCTATGGCTTAATGGAGTGTGTAAATCTAGTCAGGTTTATCACACAGTATCACTCAAAAATTAGGTAGGTAGGTAGGTAGGTAGTAGGTAAGTAGGTAGCATATATCACTCCCCAGAGAGGCAGACTGAGCACTTTACATTGTGCAGCTGCTGGATTTCTTCATTAAGGGTTTTTCTAGTTCTTGCAATAAAACCTGCTTATCAAGAGCTGTGTCCTTGAATCACTGCCTGCAAGGTTTCTAGTTTCAGAATCGGTTGAGGAGAAGTCTGTCAAACTTCCAAGAGGGCAGGACTAGTGCCCTCTGTTCCACTGGTCATATAAGAGTTGCTAACAACAACACAGGCAGAATCTCCAAACAGGATGCATCCCATCATGGTAAAGGATCCTGTTTTCAACCACTTGCCTTGCCTCGGCCTTTTCTCCAATTTCTTCTTATTCTTCATCTTTTTCCAACTGATACCTTTTAAAACAGCCATTATTGTACTTTATAGTTGAATTACACTGGGCTGGACATTGTTACCTTCTATTTCAGTCCTCTTAACTGCTGTTTTTAGAAAGCCACAATTTCATAAAAGCTGTCATTCCTCGACATCTATTCTACCTTTCCAGCACCATCTCTGGTATCAATGAGAAGCTCTATTGTTCAGTGACATACTTTGCTCAAAGAGAAAATTCTCATGAATTCAGTAAAAATTACTTTCCATAAGTCAATACATTTTTAACCCAAAGAGGTGAAAGCTGGAAAAATGCAAGAAACATAAAGGCTTTGTTTCGGACTGTAAATCATTACTTGACCCTAATTGTCCACTTCCTCTTTTTATCTAGTTCTAAAATTAATCTGAGACAAAGTTCTAAAAGCTCTGAATACAATTGTCTGAATGTTTAATATCAAATGTATATTTTATAGTAACTTAGGTATCTCAGTTGTATTTTAGTGTATGATTGTAAGCCAATTGCAATGGAATTTCATTTTATTATGCAC